CAACCTGGACTAGTGGAAGGTGTCCCTGCCCATGGCAGGGGCTGGAAGGAGATGAGCTTTAAGGTGCCTTCCAACCCACACCATCCTATGAAAAACAACTGGTTTATGCTGCAGTGAGACACAAGAGCTTATCTAACATTTCCTTACCCTGTTTCAGCTGATCTCTTTGCCACTTCACCCCTTCCCCACCTTAAAATTACCATTTTCCAAACATTTCAGCACTACAGCTCAGATCACCTGGAGCTCCTCTTTGTCCTGCCCAGGATTTCTTGCTTCTCTTTCTCAAAATCAGTATTCCAAAGTGAGGAAAAAGACCACACCAAAGACTAAACCAAACAAGGAAACACTTTCCTCTGTCCTTTTCACCTCAGACCAAGGCAATTAGTCTCTCCATTATGACAGAATCAGTAATTCCAATGAAATCCAGTTTTTTTGTGGAACAGAAGGTCTAAAAGACTAATGGATTAATGCACTGAGCCCTCACATCTGCTGCCATGAACTAATATCCCACTTCCAATGCTAAGGAAGTGATGTGGGAATGTGTATTTGGGAAAGAACATTTAGCAAAGTGGTTAAGCTCAGCCCAAGCCCCAGATTTCCGTGGAGATCTGTTGAGTGTATCTTTTCACCAAGGAGAGGAACCTTTTATGTATCTTGAGGAAATGGAGAGACCTCAAATCACTTGGAAATTTCAAAATATTTGTTCCTCCAACGACTGTTATGTAAACCCAGTGCAGAGTCTCGCAGAGGAATCGTTCCTTATGTAGGTCAGGAAAAGGCAAACTCCTGCCCGAGTCTTGCAAGGGACAAAGGCAGATGCAGAAATTGAAGTATATTTTTCATTTTCCTGCCTGCTTCCCCTCGAGCGGCACTGGATTTTTCCAGATGTAGAGAAAAACAGCAGTTGCAGATATGTACAAAAGTTTATTTTACAAACAGCGACTACTTTGGAATAACAAAATTGCAAAAACATAGACCAAAGTTAGAAAACCAGCTCAGGGGGATGTTTTCTACCCGAAGCACAACTGAACAGAATTCACTAAGTGCCCCCAACCCTTCCCTCACCCCCCTCCCCAACCTGATGGAATTTCTTTATAAAGCTTTAATTCAAGATGTGAAAGACTTTAGTGGCACTGCAGTAATTTTTGATAACTACAGTTAATTGATTGACCATATTTCTATTACCTTTTCCTGACCTTAAAAACTCAGATCAGCTCTGATATATAACAGAAGTCTGATTCTGCTATTTTTTCCACTAATAAGTATCAAATGGTAACAGTTCTATTTGTATATTTTGTTACACATGAGCCCTCTAGTTCTATTTTCTTAGTAAGGGACAAACAAGTTACATTTGCAATGAAAATGATGAAAGTGCAACAAATGTTACTGAAATATTTGTTCAGGACTCTCAGATGGCTCCTGCTGTTAGAAACCTGTCTCTAAATGCATCCTGCCTCGAGTAAGAAATGTATTTAATGTTAGAAGGCATAAGAAGCTTACAAAAGATTGACTGGAAAGGGTTACATGCACACACTTTGTCACTAAACTACAAGTGTAGGAAGGGGGAAAGTTCAGAATTTTGGGTTCTCATAGAAAAGTGAAAAAACCTCTGTGGCAAATTCAGCTTCAGGAACGTGCACACAAACATCTTATTCAGCTGCTGACGGACAGAAATGGAGGGAATCATCACAGTCTGCAAACTTCCCTTTGAACTTGCTTTTCATGTTTCACAAGTGTATGAAAAAAATTATCTAATTTGGGGGTAGTTTAATTCAATCAAAGAGAGAATGAATTGATGCCTAAGCGAGAAATAACCACTTTTAATTTTCAAAGCTGTTGGGGCCTGATGAGATCACACACACCAAAAAAAAAAAAAATCATTTCCAGTATTTGAAAACATTTGAGAGAAATGAAAGCATCTCCAGATATTACAGAAAGTCAGTAATGAAAACTATTATGATACAACAGAGCTAGTTAGCTCTAATCAAACAATGTTAAGTCTGTTGTGTCACTACAGACCCCAATTTGCAGGTCACATTGTGCCATTAAAAATCTGGTTCTCAGTACACAACTTTCTAAACCCCTGAAAAACTTCACAAATTATTTTACAGCAACTCAGTCAGAATATTGCAAAACTTACTCAATGGTCTTCAGCTTAAATCTATTTATTTTTTTGCAAATACCTGGAACATGGAGTCATTTTTGGTAATAAACTTTCAAAGTAAAGTACTGTCCATGCTTTTTATCAGGCAACCCAGTATTTTTGTAGTCCCATCCTTTTAACAATCTAGAGTTCAGTATCTGCAGTATCAATATCTGATATTCCCTATATGGAACATAGGATGGGATACACCTACAGGCATTTCATAAAGGAACCTCTATAGTTGGTTTTCTCAAAAAATTATCAAAAAGTGTTTTGGACAAACTCATGACACACTCAATGCTTTAACAACACCCAAGATGTGGTGGAGGATGCCAAGCACTGTAATAGGAACTGAAATGAAAGTCAAGAAGTGTTTGGAAACACTTTTTTAGTCTCTGAAGGACACTGCTGTTTATCACAAAATTCATTTTTGAAACATAAAAAGTTTAGACAAGTTGGACATTAAGCTCAAAACTCATTCACATCCCACTTTTGCTCACTGCTTGTCAGTTTGACAATTCCCACTGTGCATCATCTCACCTTTTCCAGCAGAATTCCTCAACCTCACAGTTCAGGAAGGATTAAGACAGAGTGGCAGCTTTGTTTTCATCGCCTCTATCCTGTACAGAACGCAACAGTCGACAACCAAGACAGCACAGAATGCAGATTCCAGCATTAAAAAAAGCATTTTCATAAACTAGAAACGGCAGCCTCGGTAAGAAATGGACTTCACAGTTTAATAGTTGCTCACACACATTTCCCAGGAACAGGCACAAAGCCCTCAAGGTGTTTATTTATAAACAGACTCTGTTGCACCCGGAAAAGCGGTGGCAGCAATTCATCCATGGCTTGGAAAAGCTAATTCGAGGAAACAAAACTGCTGGGGTTTGGTTTTGTTTTTTTTTTAATTATCCTGTAAAAGTTGCATTTCACATAAAAAAATTAAAAAAATCAACTCAGCTGTGGAGCTCAGTCCTTCTCTCTGTGAGCACAGAGTCGAGCGAGTTCACCGGTAAATGGGAAAGTTTCAGCGAATTCAGCAACCAGCCTTCACCTGTGACACCATCAAAACAGTTTGGTTCTGTTGTTTGTTTTGTTTTTTTAATATAACACTGAAAAAAATGATGGAACACAGTTTTCATCCTCCCAGAAGTGTTTTCAGCTGTATCTGCTGCTCTCACTGGGGCTCCTGTTGTTGGAGTAGCTGCGATCGCTTTCGCTGTCGGAGCCGTAGGACCTGCCGAGAAAACAAAAAAGGTTCAAAAATGCCTCAGAACTGCTTCAGGTTTGAGCTTCAAATTCAAATTTGCATCGTGTGAAAAACATTGTTAAGATGGACACAGATAAGAAAAACAAACACAAGGTCTTTTACAGGGTGGTGTTTCTCATAACTGAAGAATTCACTAAAGGATACTCAAAATTGAAATAATAATTAACTTTACGTGGTGTTGCCCTGGATAACTCAAGGCAAGTTCTCTGTAACTTCTTGCTTTTTCTTTTACAGCTAAAAACCATCCAAAATTAATGTTTTTATAAATGCTAGTAGCTGACTGAGAAATATATTCTAACACATCTGATTTCATATTGCAAGCATCTCTCAACTAAGATAAGTTCACAAATCCTTGCTTCCTACATGTTGTATTTTCTTGTTTGAAGAAGGATCTTGAGAATTAGGCCCCAGAACCACAAGAACAGAGTGTGTGTGTCTCTGCAGTGTGGAAATTGTGTATTAAAATGGTTTGGCTTATCCAGAAGAATCCCAAGCTCAGCACCTGGCCAAACATCAACACAGAGTCCAGATGGTTTCAGACAAGCCACAGGAAATATTCCAATTACACAGAAATAAGCTTTCATTAGAGATTTTTTTTTTAGCCTCCTGCCTGCAAAGGAAGCTTTCTAAATGAAAGGTGAGCGTATCCTAATCCAATATTGCTTCTTTGAAGCTTCTCAACATAATAAGACAATGATTTTCCAAGTTTATTTCCACATTCTTTGTTAATCTAATTAATTTCCCCTCAAACACAAGATGAAAGTTGTCTTGTGGAAATGGGTGAGAGCAAAACCTTTAAGAGTTGCTATAAAGTTGGGAAAAAAATGAGCATGAGAAGGGCACAGGATGAAAATTTACAGCAGTTGTAGAGACCTGTATGATTTATGAGTAATAGGGGACATATTAAAAGGTATAAAACCAATCATCAGTGCTATTAAATCTATATCTCTCTATATCTCCTGCTCCACCTCTGATCTCTGTGAAATGTGCTCAGTTGCACTTCTGTAAATCCCCTGGACAGAGCAGAATAGAATTTATTCCAGATTCATCAGATTTGCAGGTAAAAATATTCTTTCAAAATACATTCTAGGAAGTTAAAAATTAAGTCTGGATTTCAGTGCAATTTTTTACTTTCCCTGCCAGATTGTTTTAAATCCATATTTGCAGTTGAAAGCAAAAAGAATTTACCATCCAATGGAATTCTTTGCATACCAAGCAGCTTTTAATCCATCACAGGGCATTTGATTTAAATCTTGTTAGTTTACTGTGTAGTTTTTAAAAATCACTTAATACTATTAAAAAAATTAGAAATCATAGAATCACAAAGGTTGGAAAAGACCTGCAAGACCACCAAGTCCAACTGTTAACCCAGCACCAGCACTGTCTTCTCCATTAAACCATGTCCTCAAGTGCCATTTCCACATGTTTTTTTTAACATTTCCAGGGATGGTGACTGGGAAAATGTGAAAATTTTGAATGCATTCAATACAATGAACTGGAACTCAAATCTTTCTTATCCTACTTCTTCCCCATCCTCATATTTGGCATGTGAGGAGTTCTGACTTCCTCACTCACACACACGCTTCGATTTTAATTGGTTTTAACTATTACTTTTTTTATGCTTGGGGGAAAAAAAACAGCACACTGGCCTTTCTTAAACATCACAGGTATGTGTTTAGCACATCTTTTCCCCACAAATCCAGTGCCAAACCACACCTGGATCTCCGATCGTAGCTCCGAGACCGTCGGTAGCTGTCACTCCTTTTACTCCTGCTCCGACTCCTGCTGTAGTAACTGTCATATGTGTAGGACCTACTTTAAAGGGAAAAGAAGGCAACTGTAAATTTATGATTTCTTGTCTAAAATGCTATTTTATATGCAGGCTCAAATGACATTTACATACAGAGATGAAGGGCTGGCTAGAAATTACTTTTGGAGGCTGCGGCAAACAATTCCGTGCTTTAGAAAAGTTTCAACACAGCAACAATTATCTTCAAAGCAGAAGTAAAAATGTCAAATTTACTAATCTAGAAAAGACACAATAAGCATCCATAAAGTTTTGTGGTTTCTCTTTTTTGTAGATGCTGTAAAAACATTGTTTGCTAATTTGAAAACCAGCAAAGTGATTCTGTTTATAAGTCAATTTTATTTTAACAAAAAAGGGGGATGTGTTCACTATTTCTCATATCATCACCTGTAACTGTAATGCTGGGACAATTTGGTTATTTCCAGCTTTTAAGTGCCTTATATTGATTTTGCTTTGATTCAAGCTGTTACAACAATATTATAGTTTTAAGGACCACAGATCCCTGGAAGTGTCCAAGGCCAGGTTGGACGAGACTTGGAGCAACCTGGGCTAGTGGAAAGTGTCCCTGCCCATGGCAGGTGGGTTGGAACT